CGAAAATTTAAACGCTAGAATTTAAAGAAATTGAGGAGAAATTTTTAGATTACCCTTTGTCAGATTCCTTTTAACCTCGCTAGCCATATATCCGAAACGCAAGTTGACAAGTGTTAAAGTCGAATATGAGTAAATCTATTTTTTAACGTCTTTTTTGACGTTGCCTCTCTGATTTCTTATAGTTCTTACTGTTTGTTATCCTCTGAGACATTTCAATCTGATGGTTTAAAACGCTCTGGTTAAGGATCTGCTTCAGGCGATAATGTTTCTGTGCAATCATGATAAAGTTTGCCTTGGTATAGGATCCTTGGGCATTTACGTGATCAAGAGATTGGAAGACAAAAACGGCGTGGTTGGGGTAGGACGAGGTTGTTGATTACCACTCGAAAAGGGTCGTTATATCTTGTTGCAATGGTACAGTGAGGTCTTCCAAGATAAGTCTGATACCGGAGACCCCAAATAAGTATTTAAAGTGATTTGACTGAGCTGTATAAGGGAGGTTGCCCTTTTTAAGAAATATCGTATTTCAACATTTTCTTGACAGGAAGTTTGGATTTCAACTCAGTCTCATGTGAAAGTTCAAATTCGGCTTCTCTACATCGGTACGAGGTAAAAAAAAAATCATCACTTAACGTTCGTATGCTAAAGAAACGTCGTCCTTACAGATGTTCCAGCTTCGTGTTGTCACTAAAGGCCCCCACTGACAAGTTCAGCAACTTGTTATTGGACAGGTCCCTTGAAACAAATTAACAAATCAATTACCTTATTTACTCGACAGTGAACCTGAATTTCACAGCTTACAAAAAGATTGAGGACTTGTCTGTATGCTGCTTATTGATTTGACTCGGAACTTCATGTAGAAATGAACTTGCTATGAGGTTTTCTCAAGGTGACGTGTGCACTTGAAATGATTAACTCTCTAAGTAAAGATTATTCTTCGAAAATACCAGAGCTTTGACCAATGCTATTTCTGTTTACTTGAACCAGCGAAAAGAATGAAATATGAAATATGTAATGATCATGATGCAAAGGGAAACACCCGAAATATTTTTTGGCTCTCTTAATTAAAAAATTTTAAACACATGTAATACTAAGTTTCCCAACACAATCATGATCAGAAGCAAGTGTTTATCTACTGATGGATATTTCAGTGCTGCCCTTAGAAAAAAATTCTGCCTCACTTTGTGCATTAGCTTTAAGTGGATTATTTCCC